AGGGGACGGGTATTTGTATACACAAGGAGTGCAATGCGCACCACCCGAAGGATGGACATATTTGAAACACGGACTTGGGGGTGGGGACCAAGGGCAACATACGTAACCTAAACATCTGTACCCCCATAATATGCTGAAATAAAAGAAAAAAAAAAGAAGATTCAAATAAAATCAAAAATGAAAGAAAAGATGTTACAATTGATGCCACAGAAATAAAAAGGATTTTAAGAGATCACTATGAACAACTATATATCAACAAATTCGTAGCTTAGAAGAAATGGATAAATTCCTGAAAAGATATAACCTACCAAAACTGAAACATGAAGAAATACAATATCTGAACAGACCTATAATTAGTAAGGAAATTAAATCAGTAATAAAAACATCACAACAAAGAAAAGCCTAGTATAAGATTGCTTCACTAGTGAATTCTACCAAACATTTAAAGAAATAATACCAATCTTTATCAAACACTTCCAAAAACATTGAATAGGAGTGAACCCTTTCCAAACTCCTTTTATAAAGCCAGCATTATTGTGATAACCAAAGCCAGAAAAAGACACTATAATAAAAGAAAACTACAGGCCAATATTCCTTATGATATAGGTGCAAAAATCTTCAACAAAATACTAACAAACTGAATTCAACAGCACTTCAAAAGGATCATACACCATGATCAAAGGGATTTATCTCTGGGATGAAAGTTCAACATACAAAATCAATAAATGTGATATACAATGTTAACAGAACTAAGGATAAAGATAACACAATCATATCAATAGATACAGAAAGAGCATTTGACAAAATACAAAACTCTTTCATGATAAAAACACTCAACAAATAAGGAATAGAAGGAAACTACTTTAACATGATAAAAGCCATATATGAAAAGCCTCCAGCTAACATCATACTCAATGGTAAAAAGTTAAAAGCTTTTCCTCTAAGATCAGGAACAAAAAAAGGATGACCACTCTCACTTCCATTTGACATTGCATTGGCCAGAGAAATTAAGCAAGAAATAAAAGTCACCCAAAACAGAAAAGGAAGAAATAAAATTATTTCTGTTCACAGGTGATATGATCATATATGTAGACTACTCTAGAGATTCCACACAAAAGATCCTATACAAAATAAAACCCTTAGAATAAACTAATTCAGCAAAGTTGCAGGATACAAATTCAAGATTCAAAAATCAGTTGTTTTTCTACACATTAACAACACACAATTAGAAAACAAAATTAAGAAAACCATCCCATTTACAATAGCATCAAAAAGAGTAAATACTTAGAAATAAATTTAAACAAAGAGATGGAAGACTAGTACATTGAAGACTACAAAATATTGATGAAATTGAAGAAGACAAAAGTAAATGAAAATATATCTTGTTATCACAGATTGGTAGGCAATATTATTAAAATATTGATACTACCCAAAGTGACCTACAGATTCAACTTAATGAAATCCTTATCAAAATTCCAATGGCATTTTTTACAGAAATAGAAAAAGCAATCCTAAAATTTGTATGGAACCTGAAAGAACCCCAAAAAGCCAAAACAAACTTGAGAAAGAAGAACTAATCTAGAAGACTCACACTTTCTGATTTCAAAATATATTACAAAGCTACAGCAATCAAAACAATATGGTATTGTCATAAAAACAGACACACAAACCAATGGAATAGAGAGCCAAGAAAATAACTCTTGCATCTATCAGTTAAATGATCTTTGACAAGGGTGCCAAGACTACAAAATGGAGCAACAACAAATGGAGCTGGGAAAACTGGATATCCACATGCAAAAAAAAATGACATTGGACCCTTATCTTCCACCATACACAAAAATCAACTCAAAATGGATTGAAGACTTAACATAAGACCTGAAACTAAAATTCCTAGAAGAAAAGATTTCCTAGGGGAAATCTTCATAGCATTTGTCTGGTAATGATTAGTTGGATTGATACCAAACACACAGGCAACAAAAGCAAAAATAGACAAATGGGACTATATCAAACTAAAATATTTCTTTGCATAAAAGGAAAAAATCAATAGAATGAAAAGGCAATCTTAATAAATGGGTCAAAATATCTGCAAACCATATGTCTGACAAGGGTTAATATCTAAAAGAAATAAACTGTTACAACTCAATGACAAAAAAAAACAATAAAAAAATGAACAAAGGACTGGAATAGACATTTCTCCAAAGATGACATACAAATCATCAACAGGTATATGAAAAGATGTTCAACACAACTAATCAACAGAGAAATACAACTCAAAACCATAAGGAATTATCACCTTATACATATTAAGATGTCCATTACCCAAAAAATAGATGGGAAAGAAGAAAGGGAAGGAGGGAGTGGGAGAGGAAAGAAATAATAGCAAGCGTTGGCAAGGATGTGGAGAAATTGAAACTCTTGTGCACTGTTGGTGGGAATGTAAAATGATGCAGTCATTATGGAAAACAGTATGGAATTTCCTCAAAAAATTAAAAAAGAACTACCATATGATACAGCAATTCCATTCCTAGGTATTTATCCAAAAGAATTGAAAAGAGGATCTTGAAGAGATATTTGTACTCCCATGTTCATGTCACCATTGCTCACAATAGTCAAGAGGTGAAAACAACCTAAATAATGTCTATGGATGAATAAATGGATAAGGAAATTGTGGTATACACAAACAATAAAAGGTTATTCAACCATAAAAAAGAAGGAAATCCTGTCATATGCCATAATGTAGATGAACCTTGAAGACATTATGCTAAGTGAAATAAGCCAGTCACAGAAGGACAAATGCTACATGATTCAATTCTATGAGGTATCTAAAGCAGTCAAAGTTATATAAACAGAAAATAGAATGGTGGTTGCCAGAGGCTGGAAAGAGGAAAAAATGAGAAGTTGTTATTTGATGGGTACAGAGTTTCAATCAAGCACAAGATGAAAAAGTTTTAAAGATCTGTTGTACAACATTCCTCTTATAATTCACAATACTATACACTTAAAACTGTATTAAGAGAGTAGATTTCATGTTATGTGTTTTATACAAGGAGGGGGAAGAGGAGGTGAATTAGTAGTGGTAGTAAGAGTAGCACTAATAGACTCTCACACAGATAAAAAAACCAACCACTCCTCATCACAAAATGGCGGTCCCGACATAAGGAAAGTATTAGAGACAACTTAATAGCTCCATGAAGATGGAAGAAACTGTGTGGCAACACACTGATAAATAATATTGTGTTCATTGTTAATCAACCACAATAGAGTATAAAAATGAACAGTATTAGGAAATGGGGTAATCCTATATGTTAAGTACTTCAAACTAAAAGTTAATTATGTGTCTCCTCAAAAAAGCATGTGAATTTGTCAAATGATTCAAATACAAATTACATGATTTGAAGCTGCTGCAATATAGCAAGACATTAGTAATGCATTAATCACAGTCTAACACAGTATAAAAAGTGCAAAAACACGCCACATAAATTCCATAAGTACAATTTCAAAAGCTACATTTTAAACGATGGCTATTGTGCAGCATATATGTGCACTCAATAGAAACAGAAATTATTTACATTCTTTTTGAGTGTGGATGAAAAAATGTTTGGCAAGATTCCATCTTTTTTTATAGATTGTACATTTTAGCTGAAATAATTTTTAACTCTTTTAAACACAGCAATTCTTTCATGTGTAATTAGAATTTTGAAAACAGAATGCATTTACCAAAATACATATCCACAGAAAAAGTCTCTGAAGCAAATACTGAACAAACATATTTAATCAGTTGAATTTATATTTTAGGATAAAAATAAGTAAGTGAAATTTCTCTAGGAAAAGTCTATTTTAATGATGAAATATTCCTGGCTTCAAAACTAAAGAAATTATAACTAATTTGACAACATATTAAACAAAATCTAAATCCCTCTGCCCTGTTCAAGATGGCAAAAGTCAACACAGCCTTACTGTTAGCTATAAAGAAAAAGAATAATTGTGATGAATATTTATACTTGTTACATACCTTTAAAGTTTGATAAAGGATGTTTAATTTTCTATACTTTCTTCAATAAGCATTCTAAAAAAAAATCTTTAAAATATTTTTCTCTACCACATTCCCAAACAAATATGAAGAAAATAGAGAAATTAATGATGTAATTTGTTTCCTAACCCACAAACATATAGGAAATTTTTCTATCAAATGTGAATCAACCTACTTTTGGAGTTTCTGCAGAGAAACAAGAAAAAAAAATGCTTTTTCATTTCATATGAATATTACTCTTCTAAGTATATGGTATATTAAAAACCTATAATATTAAAAATAAAAGATATGAACAAATTACTCTCCCCTAAAATAATCTGAATGCAAGCATGTCTTTGCCCTAACAGGATTAATATTTACTAAAAATTGGGATTTTCCCATACCATGCAATGCGGTTAACATGAACATGAAGTTAGATTTTATAAAATGATATAATAAATTGTTAAGCACTTTATTTTCAAATGTTCTTCGAAAAGGAATTTAAGCCTTTTTTAAGCATAATTTTTCACATTTTTCAGATCTTTAAAAATCTCAATAATTTGACCCTTTTTTTCTGAATAACGATAGATTCCCACTCAGAATTATGTAAAAAAATATTCGCTGTAATATTAGCAAAATTTAGAAATAAACTAAATGTACAAAAACAGGTAAATTTTTAAACAAATCACAGTAGATGTCTGCTATCATGTTGATAGAGTATAAAATTTACATACACATATGTAAATATAAAAATGTAATATATGTAATATAAAAATAGAGTATGAAATTATATATACAATAGTATCCTGATTTAGATAGAAGGATAAACTCTAAGATACACTGGGGAAAAAAAGGAAAAAGACTAGAATGAAAAATACAGGAAAACTCATTAACAGGAGCAATATGATTATGTGTGGTTTACATATTTTTTCATTCTTCATTTTTTTTTCTACCATCTCCATAATAGATATATTGTCATTAAAAGGAAAAACAAATGTAATAAAATATTGTATAGTCCATATTTAGATTTTTGTAAGTAATTGTTTCAAAACCAAAATTTATCCAGAATAAACATAACATAAAGATTTATGCTTATCCTAACAGCATAAATAATTTGGCTTTAAATATAACTATCTAATGTTAATGAACAGATTATACTAAAATGTAAGAAAGTAGTAATTGTTTCCAAATTATATTAAGGCTTACCTTCACAAAGTTTCTGCTTCATCACTTCCCTTATTTTGGATATTGCAATATAGTCTTCCACATAAAACACGTAAGTAGACGAGGGTTTATTGGCAATAGCTCTAAGTTCTGCATCCTCTGTTTCTGAACCAACACCAATGGCAAATAATGTTATCTTACTGTCTCTTGCTGCTTCTGCTGCATCCTTGACTTCATCTTGGGATTTTCCATCCGTAAGCACCACTGCTATCTTAGTCAGAAATCGTGAGGATTTGGCAAAAAGGTAATCGAGTGCAAACTGAATGGCCTTCCCAGTCCTTGTGTTTCCTCCTAAATAGTGTATGGATTCCATTGCTGCCATCAGAGGCTCTCCTGAATCATAGCTGCCAAGGGGAATCTCCAGCACAGGGTAGTCACTATACTGAACCACTCCAACTTGAATAAACTTCGGTCCTATGTCAAAGTTTTTTGTGATATTGACAAGCCACTTTTTTACTATTTCAAAGTTTTCTGGGCCAACACTATAAGAGCCATCTAAGATGAAAACTAAATCTGTCGGAGCAGTACGACAACCTAAATGCAAAAGAAAACCATCAGAGCACAACTTTTACATGAAAAGCAAAAGGGGAGAGGCTTTAAATACATGATTTTAAGCTATACACTAGTATCATTGCTTGTTTTAAGTTATTAATGGAATATGTTTAATCTAAGCTGACCTTAAATATTTACAAAAATATATAAACCAACGAATAGGGAGAAAAAAATTAAATCTTCTGCCAACTTCAGGATTCAACTAGCCAATAAAATTGTATACTTTTTGATATAGTTGATAAAAGTTAAATGAACTGTGATCACTAAAGTGTCAACTCTTGCCTTACAGCCAAGATGAGTTTCTAAAGGTCTGATCTGTCATCTTCAGCCAATATTATAGTCAAAATATCAGCTGTGCTAAGTGAATCTATTTTAGAGGATATACAGCTATTTCTTGCTGTGTAGAGATAAAGATTCTTCTTTCAAGATACCAGGAAACACTTGCAGTCAGTATATCTTAGAGTTCTATCAGGGGGGAAAAAAGGACAATTTTTGGTGCAAGTTACACCTGAACGAGTTATAAGCAGTTGTGAAAATAAAAAGAAAAAAAAAATCTTCTAAACTCTCTTGTTTCTATAACGCACACAGCATGCCTCTAACCTTATTTCATTCTCTCAGTATATGTATATTGAATACCTACTTTGTACCTGACATCACAATAGGTCTATGTTCAAATATACATAAGATATCTCAAAAAGCTCAAAGTCAAGTAAGATAGACCACTGACCAGTTAGGCAAAGTAAAAATATCATGAGAACATTTAGGAAGGGCATTACAACCTAACTGTGGAAGGTCGGGGAAGGTTTTATGGAAAGCAGACAGGCAATGAGAGACCTGATACCAGAGCTTTAGCCAGGTGAAGAGGAGGACTTCTAATTAAAGGTAATAGCAAGTGCAAAGACCCAGAGACGAGAGACAAACATAGACTAACAGGCAAACTGGTTTGTTTGAGCAATTCCAGTAGTTTGGAATGGCCAACAGAGTTCATGGAAAGGAACAGCTGTATTTGCTTTCTCTTTCTTTAACCTCTACACTCAAAGCAACAAAAATAGCCATTTCTTATGGCCCATATGATGAGATAACTCCATATTTATGCCTTGTTTTGGATTTAGCACAGAAAGGTAATATGACAGCCAATTTTAAGTCTCATGCTTTTGCTTACATTAATGGTGCCCCTTAAGTAGTAATCAGATGCCCAATTTAAAGTTATAAGGTGATTTATTTTCTGTACATATTTGCAAATAGAATATCATAATTGCAAAGGATGATACTGGACAAAAAAATGTCTAGTGACAATTAATATTCTTAGTATTTTTGCATCTCATTAGGAGTAAATCAATCTTTTTTTCTCTTTCCCTTCCTTTCCCTTCCCTTATCTATGTCTATTTACAAACCTAGAATGTTGAGAAGGCTCATAAGAAGTCCCAGTTTTAGCTATCTTAATTCACTCATCACAGTCACCAACAAAAATAAACATTATTGGTAGGTGAATATTTATAACAGCTAAAAAGTTACAAAAGAAAAAAGAATTGCCAAAACACGGGTTTGTCTCAAAAATGTAACCATAGGATTATGACATTACTCCTAAGGTGCTCTCCTGCAGGTGGTGGTGTCCTCAGAAGGGTGTAAGGGACACAATTCCAACAACCTCTCCCATGGTGGCCACTGCCAAAGTTCAGGGCAGGGACAGCAGAAATGGCATTCTGCCCAGAGGCAAATTTGCTAACCCAAGGGAATGTAATTCTTCTGTTAGTTTTGGAAGTTGGACTGAGATTAAAGGGTTATGCTTTTATTGGGGGTTTGGGGGAAAGACAAAAGGACAGAAAAGTTGTGTTTGCAGAGCTCTTCAATATTGGCCCTTCCAAAATAATGAGATTCATTGTTATCTGAACCTGATAGTGTTTGTGTGCCACCTGATTCAGTGGTTCTAACTCTTACAGGGTTATTCTTGGCCCTTCCTACCCTTCTCCCTGTCACAGAGCCATGGAGCATGTATTTCATAACTGCAAGGTTAGCCAAGAGCATGGGTACACAAGTATTGCCATTTATAAGCCCCAGACATAACACCTCTCCAAGAGACTTCCTCCATAGAGAGATGAATGGCATCATAGAAAAGGAATGGGATTGAAGATCAAAAGCATAGTTCAAATACTAGTTACTATTCTCACAAGCTGTATGACTCTAGGTAAGCACCTTAAATTTTGTGAGTCTCTCTTCCCACTCAGGAAAAAAAACAAAAAACAAAACAGAAAAAAGTTATTTCTACCTTGTAGAGTGCTTGGGTAGATGAAAGTATAAAAGTATTATACAAACATTTAAGTATTATTGTTTCAATAGATTTTCAGCCAAGTTGAATCAAATTGTCAAACCATCTCATTTAAATATCATAGAAACCACAGTTAACTTATAGTAGGGTGTTTATGTTTACAGTTTTAAAATGTGAGTATAAGAAAACTTCTAAAGAGAAGTATGCTATCTATAAATGATGGTCTGGGTAGCAGAACTACAATTAATACAGATCTTTATCTCTAGTGCAAGCTGTCCTGCAGGTAATAATAGTCAGCATTTACTGAGATGTACTGTGCTAAGCTATTTACATGCATTATCTCATTCAGTCCTGATAACCAACCTATAAGGCAGGTACTTTCTTTATCTCTACATCATGCAGTTCAAAAGTGACTGAACATGGACTCAATACCAGACTGTTAACTCCAACACTTGACAGGTAATTGAACAAACTATTATCACAGAGTCTCTCAAAATTATCTGTAAGGGAAGCTTTTTCTCTGTTAATGAGTAACATAGCAATTCATTTATTTTTGGGAATTACAGCATCAAAGACAATAAAAATGAGATCTTTAAAACCATTGCTTGAACTCCCCTAGTTTGATTTCCAGAATAAATTTATTGATTACACAAAGGAACAATGCTGGTAATTCTTACTTGATCTTATTTCCCCATCTTCAGCTAACACAGAATTCTGGAGAAGCAGGACCAAAACTAAGCAAAGAAATGTAATATGGTGAGCCATGTTTCTGTTTTCGTTCTTATACTTTGGTTTTAGGATTCCTAGGAAAAAAGAGAAAAAAGAAAAGTTAAACATATTAGATAAATAAAGACAAACACCTAGCCATTATACATCTAAATTTTTACATTATAATACCCAGTTGAAGTACAGTTAATTTTATGATTATCCTTAGAATTAATTTAGATGTGTCTAAAATAGACAAATTTTAAATATATTAATGCAAGAAGATAATCAATAGAAGCTGAAGAAGACCATGATAAATATTTAAATTCATAACTATCTTGGAAAAAGTATACACTTTTTCTAAAACTTTGAGCTTTGCTCAAAACATTTACTAGAATTCCTTTTTTTTTTTCTTTTGGCATATCCTGAAGAGCTTTCTCACATTCTTTTTAATATCTGAATGATAGCAAACATTTTTCTTTTAAATATGAATTTGCCCTTCTCCCCCTACAGTGCTCCCCGTGTCCTTTAGTTGTGGATTTATGCCCCCATCCACCTAATCCCTGGAGAGTATTTCTGCCATGTGATCACCCTAGTGTTGATCAGTTAGTACCAATTTGATGGCGAATACAAGTTAAATTGATTCCCAGTTGAAAAAAAATATATATATGAATTTGCATTCAAGGAACACTCAAAGGATGTCTGGTGAAAATATTAATATTTGTATGATAAAGCTGAGTGATAGGATTTAATTTTAAAAATGAGGTATAATTACTAATATAAGCATTAATATCTGTCTTATTTAATTCATAAACACTCATTTATATGACTTTAATATAACTTCTAAAATTAGTCCAAGGACTTCATTTTCAGTTAGAATATGGAAAGTTGCAAGAGATTGTCACTTGCAACAGTGAGAAAATACCAGATAAGCTACAAATCCATAGTTTTCTAAATCCAGCAGAAACAAAAGGATTTAAAGAAACCTAAATGAATTAAACTTTAGAAGTTATTAACCTTTTGTAGGACAGAAGAGAGTCACAACTGTTTTCATTCCTGTCAGGCAGGGAATCCTCCTGAGAAGGAATCAGCCATAGCATGTGAGATAACACTCAAAGCTTATGTAACAGATTAGAATCCTGAGGAGTCCCCGCCACAGAACAAGTGTGCCCTCACCCAGCAATTCTTCCCCACGAGCCTTCACTAAATGGATGGACTAGAAAAGTAGTACACAGAAAGTTAAGAACAATACAGAACAGCCTACAGAGACTCTCTCCCTTCCTTCCCGTGTCCAGGTACCCAGAGACTTCCTCAAATACAAAGCAGTGGATTGCTGAAGGCTGGGGTAGCACAACAGAGTTGAAAGAAGTCCCTCCAAGGCACTCCAGCCTTTCACTGTAGTGAAGAGAGAGATTTCAAAAAGTAGAAAGCCAAGGAAAGGACTAAAGAGAAATATGGAACTCCCTAGCAATCCAAAAAGCTGGAGATCATGCTGACAAGCTGAAAGAAACCTTCCAAGTTTCTCCTAAGATGTGAGAAGAGGCAAGAAAATTCGATTTCTGATCAGGAGAAAAATGCTCAGTATAAGCAGATCCAGAAATTATCTACATATCAGAAGTATCAAAAAGTGTCTGTAAAATGGCTATGATAAATATGTTAAAGGATCTAGTGAATAAGATGGATGATGTGTAAAAATATGGGAAATTTCAAAAGACAGATGGAAACTATAAAAAAATCAACAGAAATTCTTACAATGAAAAATATATCACAAAATAATTTTTACAATGGGCTTAGCTGCATATTATTGGAAGAAGAGATCAGTAAACTTGAAAATAGATCAAGGGGAAAAGCCAAGGAGAAAAAAAGGGTGATAAAAGGAATAGAGCATCTAAAACTTATGCAAAAATGTCAAAGATCTTGATTTAGCATATAAGTAATTACACATTTTTCAGAAGGAAAAGAGAGAATGAAGAAACATTTGAAAAGACATGGCCAAGAATTTTGCAAATTGATGAAAGCCACCAATTCTCAGGTCAAAGAAGTTCAACAAACCTCAAGCAAGATACAAAGTATATCAAACCTAGGTACCTCATATTCAATCAGCTGAGAATCAAAATAAAAGTTTAAAATTCCTAAAACTGGCCAGAGTAAAAAAGACACATTACATGCAGAGGAACAGGAATAAGAATTTTAGATAAAAATTTCCAAGTAATCAAATGAGCAATCAGAAAAAGATAAAAATTCTAAATGCATAGACATCTAATATTAAAGCTTCTGAATACATGAAACATAAATGAAAAAAAAAACAAAAAAGAAACAGACACACTCAAAAAGTAATGTGAGATTTTAACATCCAGCTTTTGGTATTACTGAATAGACAAAAAAAATAGTAATGAAACATGTTTGGACAACACTACCAAACTTATTTGACCTAACTGACATTTATAGAACACTCCAATGGACAACAGATTACACATTGTTTTGTAATGCATATGAAATAGTCACCAAAAGAGACTATTTACTCGAGAAAAAAATAAGTCTCAAATCTCAAAAAAATAAAACCATACAGATTATGTTCTTTAACCAAATATTATTTAATTAGCACATATTGATGAAGCTGCATGGACCCAGAGTTGTCTCTTTAGGAAAGTGTTTTATTATTAAAAATTCAATGTATTTAATAGATAATTGAGCTCAGCACAGAGAGTGAGGGAAGAGAGTGAGATACTTTGCCTGGTAATCCAGGGAATCCTCCCATATCTTATCCAAGTCCTCCAAGGTAGTACCACCAGGAGTCGGCAAGAGTCGATCACATCATTAGTGGGCTTGGGGTACACCCAGTGCCGATATGGCTGCTGTGACCAAAGATTAGGTCACAACACTTAATTCCCTTTGAATATCTGGAAAGCCTTATCAGGAAGGATGGATTCAAACCAAACGAACTGAATAAGGTACCAGTGACCAATTTATGGAATGATAGAGATATGTGACATTTCAGACAAAGAATTCAAAATAGGTGTCCTGAAAAAGCTCAATGAACTTCAAGACAACAAAGAGAATGAATTCAGAAGCCTATTGGAGGAATTTAACACAGACATTGAAATTTTAAAAAATCAAGCAGAAATTCTGGAGCTTAGGAATTCAACTGATAAATTGAGAAACACGTCAGAGTCTCTCAACAATGGAATTGATCAAGCAGAAGAAAAAATTGGTAAGCTTGAAGACAAGCTATTTGAAAATACAGTCAGAAGAGAAAAAAGAAAAAGAAACAAAAAAGAATGAAGCACACCTAAAACATCTAGCAAATAGCCTCAAAAGAGCCAATCTAAGAGTTATTGGCCTTAAAGAGGAGGTAGAGAGAGAGAGATTGGGATAGAAAGTTTGTTCAAAGAAATCATAACACAGAACTTTCCAAACCTACAGAAAGATATCAATATTCAGGTACAAGAAGGTCATAGAACATCAAGCAGATTTAACTCAAACAAGACCACCTCAAGGCATTTAATATTCAAGCTCCCAAAGATAACAAAGTCCTAAGAGAAGGAAGAATAAAGAAAAAAATAATAACATATAAAGGAATCCCAATACATCTGGCAGCAGACTTCTCAATGGAAACCTTACAGGCTAGGAGAAAGTGGCATGACATATTAAAAATGCTGAAGGAAATAAACATTAACCTTAGAATGTTGCATCCTACAAAAATATCCTTCGAATATGAAGGAGAAATAAAGACTTTCCTAGATAAACAAAAGCTGAGGGATTTCATCAACAGCAGACCTGTCCTTCAAGAAATAGTAAAAGGAATTCTTCAGTCAGAAAAAAGAAGGACACTAATGAACAATAATAAATCATCTGAAGTTATACAACTCACTGGTATCAGTAAATACACAGATACAAAATACTTTATTGCTGTAATTGCATTTTATAAACCACTTATATCTTGAGTAGGAAGACTAATAGATAAAACTAC